AAACTAAAGCTTTGTATATAGTGTAATGGACCTGTAACGCATGTAATTACTCCTCTTATCAACACCTTCCCGCTCATATGAGACCAAGGCCATCTATCTCATTGACAAGTCTACGGGCGGGTAATCTCCCTCACAACAAGCAGAAGGCTGAAGCATATAAAATTATGACATTGAATTGAATCTCAATTCCCATTTCAAGTATCTATCTTTCTATTTATCCAATAACATCGTGAAGAAATAGTATGATGGCGTTAGCCATGAGAAATCTAACTTATTACTACCCATCATTATCTCGTAGGCGGCAACATCCACAGTGCACATGAGTAGGGCAACTAAAGTCCGTGTCGAGAAAAGAAATCGAACATGAGTTGGAAACCTGCGGTAGCGTTGTTGTGCAGAGGCAGCGCATGGCCAGTATTTGGCTGGAGAGCAACCTCAATAGCCGTAGCGTGGGGATAAGTCTGGTTCAACATGGTCACATTGGCCAAACCACGGCAATCTCCTCGGCAAATGTAAAAGTCAAACTCTGGCAGCAAGAACTGCACAGGAGCTTTGAAAGATGGACCGGGGTTTCCAAGCAGTGACCAGGCCGAGGCAAACTCTCCAATGGGGACTGGCTGTTTGAGGCTGATGCCGTAGTCGAGCAGCTCCTTTGTGAACGCCGTCTTGGGGTTACCTCCGAAGAATATGTTCTGGATACCATCTCTCTGGCACACAACGTATCCGCTTGGGCGATCAAAAGCAGGGTTTCCTGTAGCAGCATATTCAACGCTGAATGAAGTTGAACCAGCGCTGCCGAGATTCTCGGTCAACAGATATCCCGTAATAATTGCTCCGTCACTAAGGGGGCCGTATCTGGCAATGAACGCAGAGGTGAGGAAAGATCCGAAACTGTGTCCGATGTGGACGACTTTGTGTGGAGTGGTCAACGATGTGAACAAAGAGTTGGAGGGCTGTGCATGGCCCGCAAACTCATACAGGCTGCCATTGCGAGCCATCAAAGTCAATTGGCGGAGGATCTCCAGTTCCAGAGGAGCTTGGACAACGGTGTACGCATCCGGGTGATCAGATTCACCGACTCCCAAACGGTCGTATGTAAGGATCGAATGTCCTGCTTTGAGTGCCGCCTCGACATAAGAGCGGTTCTCCGGCTTGTACTTTGAGTCCCAGTATCTGGAGTCGTAGTGTACTCCATGAGTGGCAATCTGCAAGGTATTCTTCTTCGAATTCTTGGCAGAGTTAGGAATACACAACTGCGCATGAATGTTGAAGGTCGCAGACGTTGTAGTGTTCTTGATGATGTTCCCGGGCCCATGAATGGAAGTTCGAGTGGCATCATAGATTGCCCAAGATACTGCTTCGATATCATTGTCTACCTTTGGTATGTCGTAGACTGCAGTCTCTGCAGTGATGGGCAATGCAATGTCGAGCTGCTTGCAGTATCCATGAGGCCTTGATTCGAGAATTGTATTTGTCGAGGCGGATATGCCAGGAAGAAGCATTAAAGTGCCGAGCAAGAGTTTAGATGCCATTGTCAGCCAAGAGATGAAAAGAACTGCCGGCTAATTTGAAGTTGGTCGACGATGACTTGGTGTGATTTGGCGGTCCCAATCTTATAGTAAAGCGATTGCTGCTTGTTTGCAAGTGATTAAAAGAAATAATTGCAGGGAAAGCAAACATATAAATAGACAATGAAAGAGCTGCGATGTTCTAGAAGCTTGCTAGGGTTCCATAATACGCTTATTCTCAACTCAAATGAAGCTTAATTCCAAATGACGATTTAGCGCAGATGCTGTAATACGCCCACCTGATACGCTCCGCAATACGCTGTCAGCTTCCTATACGCCCTACGCCCTATGCCTTATGGCTTATAAGACGCTAGATCCCACAACACAGCCTCAGCCTTGCTGACGGGAGAAGCCGAATTAGGAAAAAATTAAGTCTTTCTCTACAATAAGGAGAGCAATAATCAAGCTTGGCAAAGCATAGAAATTATCAACAGGCTTGCGAGGATGGTGTAGTTGCGAATTCGACTCAGCCACCCTACTATACATCGACCTCCGATATTAATGAGCGTATTGATTCAACCAACAGCAACAGTTGTTGAACTATTTCAAATTCTTCTCGGACTAACTCGGCAATACCGACGATGATGCATTACTTCATGCCGTGGGTAATAATAGTTGCCTAACGACACTTCAATATTTGATTGCCCCATGTGCTGTTATAGATATGCCGACTATGAGCTGGGCCGGCGCAGGCAACCTTTGGCTTCGCCCGCTGTTTAGTTAGGTTTCCTAAATGGATATCTTCAATTGCGTCATTGGAAAAAGACACCATGTCATTATCATGAAGTCGTCTGAGTGGCTAGTGGCACTTACATAAGTAGACCTAACTCAAGTCTCTGAAAGAGTATTTAGCTAAAAGGTCAATAATGCTTGCTTCATTGCATTAGCTACAAGCGATACGGTTTCCCGAAAAGAGCGCTAGATTTTTGTTAGTTGATTAATCTCTAGCCAAGCGTATTTGGACTTTTGTACCTTGTAAATGGATCCTAGAAGGTTTATAAGTCTTATTAGTACTGTTGATAGGTTGAAGTTATATTCCCTTGATCCAGCGAAGTGTTGGTATGCATTTCACCTTGTACAGTCGACAAATACAAAGAAGAAGAATCTACATATACATATATACCATTATATTCGTCCGTGGTCAACAGTGGCTGTAAATAAAAGGACATAAGCTCTTGGCAGCTACAAGCAAGCGTAAGATAAAAAGATGTGAGGCCCGAAATTGTCCATCGTAAGTATTACTCTGGACTATCTACAAAGAGATTACGTTTGATTGTGGAATTCATCTCTAAGCGGCTAGTTTGTACCTGCTTTAATATTTCATGTTTCGATTCTGAGAGAAGTAATAAATTGTTATTATCATGCTTGCCTCCAGGGTATCGGAGGGCCTATCCAAGATGTTGAGTGACAACTTTCCGGGCAGTATCTTGATCAGCCACTTGTCTTATTAAGAGAAGTAACTGCACGGGTAGCGATGCACGTCTTGTCCAGATTACTGATCTATAACTAGAAATTTCTCAATGAAAGCGTACCGATAAGCAAGATTTCCATCATGCGTAGCTTTATCAGCATCAAGGCTATAGATATAACACCTATAGATTTAGCAGCGGTGGCTTTATTCACAACCTTATCACACAAGCCTGTCCTACTACACATCAAACAAATAAGATTCTGTCATGCTCTCTGCGTGCTACATACATCCGGCTCGGCTTGAAATAGCCAACTCATCGAATCGTATCAATCCCACAACAGCCTAGTTGCACCATTTCCGTCACCCACAGCCCAAATAAACAAACAAGCCCATACTCCTCCCGCCAGCTGCATCCTTTTGCGCATTCATGCCGCAGTTGCCGTCGGTACATTCCCAGTGCATACAGCCGTCACCGTCCTCACAATCGTTCCACAGCCAGTATGGCAAGTAGGACAGGGGGCCAGCACCGTCGGCATAGGCAATGGACAGTGACACGGCTGAGTAACCGTCTTGAGTATTACACAGTCGGGCTGCGGACCACAATGCAGCGTAATAGCAGGACAGCTGTGGTTAATAGTATGAGTTGGGCAGCCCGTTGGATAGGGTTGAACCGGGATTGGGAAGGGATCAATAATGATGGGGGGATCAATAATGATGGGGGGATGAATCGCAATAGGGCCAACCGTGAAGGGAGTCGGGGTTGGGATGGGGGTAATTGGGATAACGATGCCCATGCAGCTAAAGCAGTTAGATGGAAGTCCAAAGGGAGAGACTGAGGCGTGTGCTACTCACAGGCCTGCATGGAGCAATGCCGCCATAGTTTGCTTGAACATCATGGTGAAGAAACAGTAGATAAGAATCAGTAAGTTGTTAGCTTGAGTTATTGGCGCTACGAGAAGCAAATCAAGTTTATCGAGAGATTTGCTCCCTTTATATAAGCAAAAGGGACTCGTAAAAGCATGCATGTCTCCAATATGCACTATACCACAGCTGCAAAAGTTCCAACGTGCCGAACCTTACATCCAGGTGAGACAAAACTCCATTCCATAGCCAACCAATGGCTGAACCCCCTGCATAGACCAGCGCAGGCCGACTTATCCGATGCTTCATCCTTGAAGGATTAACAGGTGAACCGAGACATTGCCTTTTACTTCTAAGTATAGTAACCACTCGGTCAAACAACCCAACCCTACTTTCATCCTTTGGGATTTGTTCAGATATATCTACTCTGAGTGGTTATAAAGTGTTACTCTTACCTACACGATACTCTCAGCTATGCTTCAACCCCCTTCAATTTACGTTCTAGATTAATTGGACCCGGGTAGACTAGCCGTCAAGCTATCTATGTCTTTCTAGCTCCAAACAAGCAAGCTCTTTCATTCCCAGGGAGCTTGGCCACCATATAGACACTCTTCTAGTTACGGATTTGAAGCAATGTTTGTGTGACTCATCGTGTAGTACATGTATAAAAATAGGAATGCAAACAAGGATACTCATCATATCACGTAACAGCCTCTAATGCTGTTAAAAATCGCTGTGCATATATCATCGTTAGTAGCCATCAGTTCAGCATATCAACAGTGGAGAAAATATTCATTATTATTCTAATCAGCTTGAAAGAATGCAGCCACGAGAGAGCAGAGTCATATTGCACCAAACCATTTTCAACTATCATCATTAAAGTATTCCCAAAGGGCTCCAATTTCGCCTCTATCTACAGCGTATCTATGTATAAGGTAGACAAAGATCCAGATAAATTTCACTCTAAACCTCAAAATCCGTGTTGAACCATGCTATTCGCTAATCTTCAAAAATATTATGCACTGCTTTTGTCGCTTGCGCGTACGGCGTGCTCAAAAGTGTATCAATAGTCATACTGCAACGTCTCTCCCAGAGCGTTGAAAGAAGGGCCGTAATTGTGACGTTAAATGGCAAAATAAACAGGGGAATATCCTCTACGCTTATAGTTTGGAACGGACGACCTCTAGACGATACTTTACGTCTTTGAGTGCCTTGTTCGTTGGCTTCCAGTCGTCAAATTGTCTCAGCAGCTCCTCCGTTTCGGCACTGAGCTGCGTCTTGACAAAATCCTCTTCCAAAAGTCCGCGCATGATCCATGGCAAGACATAGGGATTGGATGAAGCTAGAGGTGTTGTCTCTCGCTTTGGAATTTCGCAAGGTGTGGGCTGTGCCGTGGCAGTCGTCTCTAGAGCGTGTACGATGGCGAGGTCATATACGGCTGCGTCATAGTACAAACGTGAGTGTCCTTCGCCAGAGTAGAGTGATCCGGCAAGGGCAACAGAGAGTTCACGAATAAGGCCGTGGTCGGATATGCCCAGATTGCGAAGCTTGAGTGCGAATCCAATCAGATGGGAAATGAAATCAGGAGCATGCACTCGGCCATCGATGAAGACGGCACGGTAGATGTAAGGGTGGTTTGCAGGCGAGTACACAGCAGACTATGAACATGTCAGTTATTGCTGTTCATAGTCAGCAAAAATGGACATCATCTTACCTCCATAGGGACGAGCTGGTCGTCAATACTGCCCACAAACGTGACACGAGCTCCAAAATCGACTACCCGTTTGAGACAGGCTTCGAACCTTTTTGAGTTGTTGCTGTGAGGATCACCAAACTCCCACAGCTCTGCTGCTGCGCCCATAAGAATGCTGGACTTGTAGTCGGGGAAAGGGCCGAGGGCCACGCCGGCCATGGCACAGACGCCAATTCTGGTGTCTGTTAGCACGCCCAGATCAATCAACTTCTCCAGCAGCATGATGCTGACTGGCACTCCTTGGGAGTGGCAAGCAATGATAACCAGATCAGCCTGGCGAATCGGCTCAATCCAGTTTAGTAGGAGCTTCCACAGATTTGCCACCCTGTCGTTAATTCTGCCTTCTCCTTCGAGGGCAACCTTCTCGATTTCGCACTTGGGGCTGCCATGGCCATCAGTCCATCTGCGAATAGCCTCAGCACAAAGATTTGCAAATCGCAGAGAGGTTCCTGTGGGCTGGCCTATCATAGGACGTAGGTATGCCGCTGGAAAGAAACCATGAACGCCAATGGCAACTGCTTTGCGGATCTTTGGAGTATCTTTGACACGGAAGACATGATTTGGGGGTTGTTGCGAGGTTCGTAATACGAGATTCGTAATTTGTCGCAGGATAGAGGGGTTCTCTTTCATTTGGTAGGTGCTAGAAAACGACGGAAGTAGCACATTGGGCGGTTCCTTTACGGCGGACTCGCTCTCAGTAACGGCTTTCTTCGAAGGCGCCTGTTTCTTCTTCTTAGAATCTGTCCTAGCCAGTGATTTTGAAGCAGGCAGCTCTTGTTCGGCGCCTGCTTTGATAGAGGGGGCGGCAAAGCTCTGTTCTACAGGAGCTGATTTTGTACTGTCCGCAGATGGCGGCCGCTGGATATCAAGATCCATCGATATCGGTCGAATCCGTTTGGTCCTGCGCCACGACAATACGCTTGCTGGCGGTTCTGGTGTCGGTGCATCATCTTTAGGGTCTTTGGCCGGCGCTTCTGAGATGGCTCTTTCTGCCATAGGTGTTGGTTGGGCCTCTGACCCTTCACCCATGACCGCAATTTGCCCCGATTCCGGTTCTGGCGCCTTATCCTTACTCTTCGAGGGCTCTCTGTACCAAAAAGCCCAGGTAGAGCCGGCTTTGGGAGGAGGGCTTTGTGCCGGCAGCGCTTCAGGCGGCGAGACATCTTGTGTAGGTACGTCTTTGGCCTTCGCTGCGGATTCTTCATCAATTTTTGATTTCTTGCTGGACGATCGCGATACGGTAGCGGTTGAGTCTTTCGAGCGTTCATTCTTGAGTGGAGTCATTTTGCCTGATGGGGCTGTTGATTCTGTAGCTGTTCCCTGCTTCGAAGATGCGTCGTCGTCTTGAACTGCTGGTCGTTCTTTAGGTGCGTCTGGCTCAGGCACTGAAGCTGCTTTCGTGTCTGGTTGCGGATTGCCATACCAAAAGCCAAACCAAGAGGCCGTCTTTGGAACATCTGGAGCACTCTCGGCAGCTGGAGGCTCAGAAGGGGGCGCTTGCTCAAGGGATGCTGGTTCAGCTGGCTCGGCAGCTTTGGTGGGCTCAGAAGCCTCTTCTTCTTTTATCGTTGGGGGGTTTGGCGCGACCTGAGCAGGAGGTTCGGCAGGTGAAGCTCTAGCCCACCAGCCGAACCACCCAGCCGAAGCTGCCTGTTTTTGTGAAGCATCTTTAGCATCGGTTCCTTGTACATCTTCGCCGGTAGGAGCCTCCGGTCCAGGTTGCGGCTCCTGAGAAGGCTGCGGCTCCGGGGTTTGCTGCTCAGTAGCCGGCTTTGTCTTGGGAATCGGGGGCATCTCCGGAGCAGGTCCCGACGCCCTGGTATCTTTATCTCCGGCACGTAAAGAATCTACCGGCTTGTTCTCTTCTATTTTCTTGGTCGTAGATGAGCTGCTAGACTTGGACGAAAGCGATGCAGGTGGCGCAGCTGAGTCGGGTCTGTCGGGGAGGTGCGTATCGTCTTCGCTTCGCTTCGTGTCGAATCGAGAGAAATCGGGTGCGTTCCTAGATCTAACAGTGTCTCCCAATATATTCTCCCGGGCGATCGATGTCGAGGCTGTGGCCTTTGCGGGCTTCGCCCACGTTGCGTACCAGCTGCTGGTTTTCCGAACCTGTTGCGCTCAGTCAGAGGCTGTCCATTCAAATCCAGGGGTTCACGCCCGTGGGCAGCTGAAAAGGAAGGGGAATTTCCTCACCTCTTTTACCCAAAGTGACGCATCCGAAGGCTTGTGATCGCTGCTGGATCCAGGCTGTGGAGGCCTTTTCTGCTCGCTAGCTTGCTGCGCCGAGGCAGATGACGCCAGTGACAGTGACGTCTCAGGCGACAGAGCCGTGGTTGGCAGGCTCGACGAGCTCAGAGCAGCGGGATTAGGGCGTTGCCTCTTTCGCGGCGGCATCACGAACGCAATACTGATAGGAAGCAGGCCATAGAATGGATGAGGAGGAAGAAAAGGACACGCAGTTTAGGTTTCGATGATGCAAGGTTAGCAGGCAGAAAGGCGGCTGGAAGGTTCAGCTGTAATTGATGGTACCTCGGAGCTACTTTGGTCGGCGGACTCCGTAATAATGATGAATGACGATGCCTGGAGCGTCACAGCGCGCGTTTCCGGCTCCAACAGCGGCTCTTCTCCCCTAAAAGAGCCAGGGATGCCCTGTGGCATGTGCTAGAGCCTCCCACACAGGTCCCTTCGGCTGGGCTGTGGCTTGACTGGCTCGAGTGGGTCGGATTCAATTTCTGGACCCACTCTATTTTCTTTATCGCTGCGCTACTCTTATCGCTGTCCCGCCAGAAAAAAAAATCGAGATTGAAGTCGAAGCTGCGCAGGTCATTTTTTTGAAGCCAAAGTCGTCCATGCTAAAGGCTACGAGTTTGCCTTTGCATCTTGCGGCCGACAACCACAATGAGCACACTTAAGCGGAAGGATGCCCCTGGAGGCAATCCTCCCCCCAAGTCGGCCAAAAACTTCAAAGAAGCTCGACCGACGAAAAAAGAAGCACCGGCAAAGGATGCGAAGCCAGCTGCCAAGGCGCATCGCAAATCAGACGCCGCGACTGAGGAGCGCGCAAAGGCCCCAATCATCTCCGTCTTGAAAGATGATGAGCCCGTGTTCCCCCGTGGAGGCGGAAGCGTCCTCACGCCTCTCGAACAGAAGAAGATCCAGATGGAAGCCAAAGCCGACGCCATTCGGGAAGAGGAATTCGAGACGAGCGCCAAGCCGCAGAAGAAGAAGGTGAAGAAGTCTGCGGCCAAGGGTGATAAGAAGACGGAGAAGAAGGCAGATGAGGATACCATCAAAATTGAGAGCTTAAACTTCAAGGTAGGCTTCTGCATGGACAATTGGTGCGAATTGGACCCTCAGACTAATTGACATTGCAGAGACTGGTCAAGGGCTCTTTGGTCCTCGGACAGGTGACGAAGATCAACAAACTCAACCTTGAAATCTCATTACCGAACAACCTGACCGGGCATGCATCGATTGTCACTATTTCAGAGCAATTGACGAGCAGACTTGAAGGCGGCGCCGACAAAGAGAGCGACAGTGACGAAGAAGAGTCATCTGACGAAAGCGATATTAATCTGCAGTCTATTTTTAACGTCGGACAGTATGTACGAGCTTATGTGGTTTCGACATCGGATAGCACCGCCAGCGGAAAGGGAAAGAAGAAGATCGAGCTCTCTCTGCGACCCAGCGAGACCAACACTGGACTAGAAAAAGATGATGTTGTGCCCAACAGCACCGTCATGGCCTCGGTGGTCAGCGTTGAAGATCGTGGCTGCGTCATGGATCTCGGACTCTCAAACCTAAACGGTTTCCTCCCCAACAGCGAAATCGATCCACTCATTGACCACGAGAGACTCCAACCAGGCGCCGTGTTCCTCTGCCAGGTCACCGGCAAGGGCGCTGCCAAGACTGTGCAGCTCTCCCTGATGCAAGACAAGCTCGGAAGCACAAAGGCTTTCCCCGCCGATGCTACCACAATCAACACATTCCTCCCCGGTACACTCGTCAACATTCTCGTGTCAGAAAACGAGGGCAGAGGTCTGGGCGGAAAGATTATGGGCGCAGTGGATGCCACTGCGGATTTGATCCACTCCGGCGTTGGTCCGAACGACGCTGACCTCAAAGCCAAGTACAAGGTCGGATCCAAGGTCAAGGCAAGAATCATTTGCAACTTTCCAACGGCCAAAGACCCGAAGCTGGGCATCTCGCTGTTGCCTCACATAATGTCTTTGACCCGGAAACGCCAAGATACCAGGTCAAAGAATGAGCAGCAGCTGCCGATTGAAGCGATGCCCATCTCCTCTTTTGTCGAAAAGTGTACTGTTCGCCATGTCGAAGATAACATTGGTCTCTTCGTTGATACCGGTGTCGCTGGCCTGGGCGGATTTGTTCACATCTCTCGAGTAAAAGACGGAAAAGTCGAAGCCCTTTACGAAACAAGTGGTCCTTACAAGGTTGGAACTGTACACCGCGGCCGAATTGTTGGATACAACGAGATGGATGGCCTCTTCAGTATCTCCTTTGCGAAAAGCATTCTTGACCAGCAGTACATCCGTGTCGAGGACGTTCCCATCGGCTCAGTGATCAATGGCGAAATTGAGAAGCTGGTCATCAAGGAGCAGGGCGTTACTGGACTCATCATCAAGGTTGCAGAGGGCATCACTGGATTTGTTCCCGAGAACCATATGTCTGATATCCGCCTTCAGAACCCTGAGAAGAAGTTCCGCGTTGGAATGAAGGTCAAGGCTCGCGTTCTTTCTACTAATCCCCTTAAGAGACAAATGCGCCTTACTCTCAAGAAGACACTGGTGAATTCAGAAGCTCCCACTATCAAATCTTACGACGACGTCAGCATTGGAATGCAAACTCTTGGTACCATTGTCAAGGTGCAAAAGAATGGAGCTCACGTTCAATTCTACGGACACCTCAAGGGATTCCTTCCTGTATCAGAGATGAGCGAGGCCTATATCCGTGATCCTATGGAGCACTTCCGTGCTGGACAAGTTCTGAGCGTGCACGCTCTTGAGGTCGACCCCGAAGCGAGAAGATTCATTGTCTCTTGCAAAGACCCAAGCGCTTTTGGATTAGAAAAGCAAACAGCATTGAAGAACTTGAAGCTGGGCGATGTTGTATCGGCCAAGGTTACCCAGAAGACGGAGGATCAAATCTTCGTGGAGCTTGTAGACAGCCAACTAAAGGCCATTCTACCAGTGGGCCACCTTACTGACAAGTCTTCGTCAAAGAACCAATACGCTTGGAAGCGAATCTCTACTGGTCAAACTTTGTCAGATCTCGTGGTCCTTGAGAAAAATGAAAACCGTCGCGCCATCACTCTTACCCAGAAGCCGAGCTTAGTCAAGGCTTCTCAAGAGAACAAGTTGCTCAAAAGCTTCCATGACGCCAAAGTGGGTGCTATTGTTCAGGGTTTTGTGCGAAACATTACAGTTACAGCTGTGTTTGTTCAGTTTGCAGGAAACCTCAACGCATTGCTGCCGAGAGGAAGACTACCAGCCGATGTTCAGGCACAGCCCGACTTTGGCATGCGCAAATTTGAATCTATTGAAGTGAAAATTGTTGCGACCATTCCTGAGTTAAAGCGTATTCTGGTTGCTCCCGCCGACGCCCCTCTGGTTATTGAGAGCGAGGGTAACAAGGGCAAGCCTTCCAAGGCTCCGGCCCCAGAGGATGGCCTTTCGTTTGGCAGCACAATAAAGGTTAGAGTTACATCGGTCAAGGATACTCAGTTGAACGTTCAGCTTGTCGACAGCGAGATCCAAGGTCGTCTTGATGTGTCTCAGATCTTTGATAAATGGGAGGATATCCTCGATCCGAAGGACCCCCTCGGCAAATTCAGCAAGACACAGGTTCTTCGTGTCAAGATTATGGGTGTCCATGATGCCAAAGACCACCGATACTTGCCATTTTCTCACAGATCTGCCCACTCGGTTTTGGAGCTCACCTCTAAGCCTAGCGATCTTGGCGATGAGGAGCCCAAGCCAATTACGTTTGAAGATTTGAAGGTTGGTGACAACCGCATTGCTTTTGTCAACAACGTAACATCTCAATACCTCTGGGTGAATCTTTCTCCCAACGTTCGAGGCCGCATTTCCATCATGGACGCGTCAGACGACTTGTCTCTGCTAAACGACCTAGAGGCCAATTTCCCGGTCGGCTCAGCCATCAAAGTTAGAGTCACATCGGTTGACGCCAAAAACAAGCGTCTCGACCTCTCTGCGCGATCACCTGGTGCCTCCGAGACCATCACTTGGGCTTCATTGAAGCAGAACATGATCCTCCCCGGCAAGATTACCAAGGTTAACGAACGACAAGTTTTGGTGAAGCTGAGCGAAGCCGTCTCCGGCCCTGTCCATCTCCCCGATATGGTCGACGACTACGGCACTGTCGATACTCTCAAATACAAGAAGGGCGATATTGTTCGTGTTTCCATTGTTGATGTCGACGCTAGCAACAAGAGAATCCGTCTCTCTATGCGGCCCTCTCGTATCATGAGCTCTACCCTTCCTGTTGCGGATAAGGAGATTGGCAAGATTGCACAGCTTTCCACTGGTGATATTGTACGAGGATTTGTCAAGAATGTCGCCGATAAGGGTGTCTTTGTCTTGCTCGGAGGTCAAGTAACTGGATTTGTCAAAATTTCAAATCTTTCTGATCGCTTCTTGAAGGAGTGGAAGGACAGTTTCCAGGTTGATCAGTTGGTAAAGGGCCGCGTTATTGCCCTTGATGCAGCGACAAGCCAACTCGAGCTCAGCTTGAAGTCTTCCGTGGTCGACGAGGACTACAAGCCTCCAGTAGGTTACAACGATATCAGGGAGGGCCAAATCGTCACCGGTGTTGTCCGCAAGGTTGAAGAGTTTGGTGCCTTTATTGTCATTGATAACTCAGCCAACGTCAGTGGCCTGTGCCACCGAACCCAAATGGCCGATAATGCCGTCAAGGATGCCACAAAGCTGTACAAGGAGGGAGATAAGGTGAAAGCCAGAGTCTTGGAGGTCGATCCTACAAAGAGAAGAATCAGCTTTGGCCTCAAGCCATCCTTCTTCGAGGACGAAGACACTGACATGGAGTCCGATGCTGGCGCAGCACTCGACGACGAGGATGAGGATGAGGATGATGGTGAAGGCATGGAGTTGGATCAGGAAGCTTTACTCAAGATTCTTGGCACTGACAACCAAGGCGACTCGTCAGAGGATGATGAAGAGGAGGAAGAGGACGAGGACGAGGAAGCTGGGAATGATAGCGACGAAGAGATGGAGGACGCTGCTACCAAGAAGACTGGCGGCCTAGGCGGAGGTAAAAAGTCAGCGTGGTCAACAAATCCATTCGATGACGCTGCCTCAGAATCTGAAAACGATTCTCAAGCTGAAAACGCCGAC